CAAAACATGAAAAATACACTGGCTTGAAAATGACCGTGTTTATTTAATGAACGTGATGTAAGCATTACAAATCAGCCGTTGCTATGACCTCTGCGGGTTTACATGTTGAAAGCAGGCAGGGGGCGGAGGGGGGAGGGGGAATAAACGGAGCTCCCAACAAAGCCACAACGGAGCCCCTAAACAATGCCTTGAGAGACAGCTGAATCGGCCGTAATTGCAGGCTCCTGAATCCAAAAACTTTGCCCTGCCGCAATTTTCGGGGATCAGTTGCACAATGGTGCCTGCAATTACCCGGCCAAACGCCCGCCCGCCCGCCCGCCCGTGTCCCACTGTCACTCGACTACGCGTGCAATTTTTTCAAATGACGCACTTACGGAACATTATTTTTAAAATGTAGTTTTTTTTCTCTCTCTCTTAAAGGGCTCCTTGGCCACATTGCGGGCGCACATGGCGGCCGTCCGGCAAAGGGCGGTGGGGGATGGGGGAGAAGGAGAGCGCGGGAAACGATCGGCAAAAGGTCCGAAACGTCGGAGCGATCAGTCAAATTCTGGGGCGACAGCCCCCACTGGGAAATCTGTGAAAAAGAGCTTCATAGCTCATCGGATTCCTCTAGTATAAATACAGATTTTGATTCAGATTTTTGTCGTGTCACTGCTGCCCCCCTTTGCTCAACACCGGGTGGTTATGGCCTAAACTGCCCACCGAGCTGCGTCATTCCTCGTTAGCTCTTCTTGTCAAGATACAGAATCAGAATCTGAATTTATACTGCAGGAGGAATCCGATGAAGCTCTTCACAGATGTTCAGTGGGTTGTGCGTCACACTCTGTCGATATCCGCGTAAATAAACACGGTGGGTTTATGTTTTGTTTTCCCCCCATATGCTTCCAAAAGAGAATTAAAGAAAAATAACAACTGTTGACACAGCCGAATGGCCAGGAAATGAGGATCTACCTTAACAATGCGATGAAAAAAGCATCGCATTACTCGGTCGTGATTAGCCATGGCTTTCTACGCAGAGGCCCCCCTGACCGAAAGGGTGATTCATATTTACATTCCACTTTTCGGGGCAACTTTTTTTCTCTTCACGCCATCCCTTCCCAGTGCTTTCCCCCGTGTCTATTACACAGGCGTTTGTGCAAAACGAACAAACAAGGCTTGCCAAATGAAAGTCAAATTGCCGTGTGGCACTCCACATATCATTGGCCAATTTGTGCGGTAATAGCATGTGGCATGCGGTGGCTACGGAGTGCAATGTCCCTCAAATTAACCGGTGCGATTGGAGAGACCTGCAGCCGCATCCTTTTTTATGGCATCCTCTCTACCCTCTGCAAACTTTTGCCCGAAAACACCGCCGTCAAAACGGCTCCCACGAAAGCCAAAGCAATTTCAGTGGCTAAACGCAGCGCGCGCCATGTTCACATATCGTATATATCACACACACACACATATATATCAGTGTGGTGGCGTAGTCACGTAAATGTGTTTGAGTGCCGACCGCTTTCACTTCATACTTCCACGAGTAAGATTTGTTCAACTAATTTATATTTGTTCGCCTGTTGGCATTCTCTGGTTTGACACGGCTAGTGAGACTATGCCCTAAAGAAGGCTGACTCTGGTGTAGGCCAATCAGTTACAAAGACAATTTATATATTATCAGAGCATGTTGGTTTGCATGTTCACTACAAGTACGTGTGGTTAATGCAAACTTGATTCCTTGTTTGAACATCTTAACACCTGTTTTATTGTCAAAAACGGTAAAACCTCTTCTTATATTTTCATACTTTGATGCTGGCAAAAAGGTTCCATTTTATAGCTGCTCACATCGAGGTATAAATGGTCTGATAGTGCATTGGCTTTGCACTGTTCACCTTTTGGCGTTCTCTGGTCTGACACGTGGTGAGACTAGGCCATAAAGAAGACTGCTGTATCTAGTGTAGGTCAATCGACCTCAAAGACAATGCAAATGAATCGATTGGCGGTGACGCGGGTCACCATCGTGACCCGGGGGTGCCAAAACCTCCATAACTCCGAAACCAGAAGGCCTATGAAGACGGGAGATGTCACTGAGCCCGATACGCAACGCCAAATATGGAAATAAACAACACACGCAAAACACCCTTAAAAAAGGGGGGCTGCTGGGGATTTGTGCGTGGCAACGGCTGTTTATTGCTTGTTGTGAAAGTACATCAGGATGCTGGTCTGGTCATTCCCCAGCACGTTCTGCTTCTTACGGGGGCGGCCACCCCCCTTGTCTTTGGGAGCGAGACCACTTGGAGGCAATGGCGCACCAGGCGCTCTCTTGGTACGGCCGGCGGTCATGGTCGTGCTGGCGGGATCGACATCGTCGTCGTCATCATCGCTCCCAGCGTCGCCCTCCGGCAGGACAGGGTGATAGTACCAGCGATGCTCCCAGAAAAAAAACCTTAAACTATGCCTGGCCCACCAATATTTTGCGGTGACCCGGGCTACCGCCAATCGATTCAAAAATTACCAGAGCATGTTTGTTTGCATGTTCACCACACGTACCGTGTGTATAAGAATTGATTTGACCAGTTTCTGACAATAAAACAGGTGTTAAGATGTTAAAACACCAAACATAAACCTTTATATTGTGATACTGGCAAGGGAGGTCCCATGATGTAGCTGCTCACCCCGAGCTCTCAATGTCCTGATAGTGGCGTTGTCTTCGTGCTGTTCGCCTTTTAGAGTCCTCTGGTCTAACACTGTTTGAGACCAGGCTCTAAAGAAAGCTTACCTCTGGTGTCGACCAATCAAGTCTCAAAGACCATGCATATACTGCCAGAGAATGTTTTTGTTTAGCATGTTCACCGCAAGTACGTGTGGCTAATGCAGACATGATTCTTTGCAAAAGGTTTCTGTTTGGTGTGTTAACATCTTAACACCAACTGTTTTTATTCATAATAAAGGTTTTTGGGTTAGATCGCGTTATTTATAAATGTGTCGTAACCCTCCACCACCCGACACGGCCAATCAGCAAAAAAAGTGTCCCGTTGACAAAAGACAATTAGTTCACTACTTTAGCCCACCGGTGTGTTGAAGAGTGAATCCGCAACATTTACAGTTTGGATTCACTCTTCAACACACCGGCGGGCTAAAGTAGTGAACTAATTGTCTTTTGTCAATGTGACACTTTTTTGCTGATTGGCTATGTCGAGTGGTGGAGGGTTACGACACATTTATAAATAACGCGATCTAACCCAAAAACCTTCATTATGAATAATATTGGCCGCGAAAGCCTACGTGTTAAACAACTGTTTTATTGCCAAAATGGGTGAAACCTATTCTCATATTGTGATACTGGCAAGGGAGGTCCCATCATGAAGTTCCGTGTGGTTAATGGGCTACTTAATTCCTTGCAAAAGTGATCGATTTGGTGTTTGAACATCTTAACACCTGTTTTATTTCCAGAAAGAGTAACACTTATAATTTTTTCATATTCGTTCTCTTTTACGCCCCTCTATTTGTCATCTGTCGCGTTGTTTGGGGACACATCACACGGCGTTATGCCGACGAACTGCATACAACAGAACACCGGGCAGGAATCCGTGGAACTTTCGCGGTAAAACGAATATATAGAGGCTCTCATGATTTCATCAACACTGACTTCACACGGAATGGTTGATTTTTTTTTTTCAGATGCACATGAGGGCGTGCGTGGTGGGCCTCTCTCTGTGTGTATGCCTGTTGCTGTGTGACCCCCCCGTGCCCGTTCAGTTGTACTGTGCACCGATGCCTACTTTATCGAGGGATATTTTGGCACGTAAAATGAATACTGATCGATTGTGTATATCTTTTGATTTACGATGTACGGTACTGTTAAGTTTGGTTTATAGCTGAAATATATATAAAAGGGAAATTCGTGAATATGTGTGTCTGTTCGAAATGTTTAGCATAATGTATATATTTTGCATGGCATGTGAGCTGTGACGTCACAACTGTGATGTCACCCGCATGCGGAAGCGTTACGCAGTGTGCCTGCTGATGTCACGCATCCCCCCCCCCCAACCCACCGCGAGTAAAGTGCCATACAAAGAATTGTGTTGCAGGTCTAAGGCGTTCTTCGTGCAGGATTGGTTTATTATTTGAGTCGTTTACTGCCGTACGCACCCTGAAAGTTGTGTGTGTCTGCAGCAAGCGCGTGTATGTGTACCCATGGACGCGTGCGTATGTTTATGTATGGGGGGAGCGGTAGTGTGGTGGTTAGCGCTACGCTGCGCTACGAACCCGGCGACCCGAGTTCGATTCCCGCTCACAGCCACCACCGGTGACGATTATTTCAACCGGTCCTGGGCTTTCCCTAGGTCGACTCAGCCTCAAACGTGTAACTGCTGTGGTGTGTGAACATCGCCACTGGGGAGACAAAGGTGGCCGGGAGTGGTGAATCCAAGTCCCGGGCGAAGCCGGGTAGTAAAGCTAGCAGTGTATAGATGCCGAAAAGAAATGACAATGATTCACCCCCTCTCCCCGCCTCAACCAAAATCCCGTGTGACGTCATGGATCCCTTGTCCTCACCACTCCCGCCTCTCTTTACGTCATCACTACCTCTCACACACCTCATCCCGTGTAGCGTGACGTCATCACCCTTCTCTTCACAACCTCACCCTGACGTGGCGTGACGTCGATACTCCTCTCAACACCTCCCCCGCGTCTCTGTCCTCACCCCCCGCCCCAATCTCACGTGACGTCATGCCAGCGCGTTACAGACAGAGACAAAGTTCCACCGTGTAGCCTGTAGCAGACTGTTGGGGCAAGTGCTGTTAGCGAGTACCACTTATGAATGCCGGCCGTCTTCCAAGTGGCGACGGTCTTATACATCGCACCTGGAACTCATTTGAGGCTGAGTCAACCTAGGGGAGGTCCCATGACCGGTTCCAACAATCGACACCGGTGTCGGTGGCCGCGAGCCAGAATCGAAGTCGGGTCGCAGGGACCGCTTCCCACAGACGCGTCTGCCGATATGGATGCGACATTGTCGTTACCAGCGCTGAATGGCCTTGCTTCTCCCACAGTGGCTCTGCCGACGACGGCTGTCCCCGGCCGTGGCTGCCTTGCGACGTCTCCGCTTGTGCCGCCGAGCGTCTGCGGCGTTCGAAAGGACACAATTTCGACACGCGGTCGCCGGCATTTCGTCCTCTCATTAAAACAGCGCTTCGTGCACATCAATGAAACCGCTGGGAGAAAAAAAAACCGACAAAGTACAAAGTGCAGATTTTGCCCATCTGCATCGCTCTCTTCTTGCTTGGCTTCTTCGATCTGCGTTGCATTTACAAGGGCGAGGTGCCCGATGCATTTGAATCAGCGTAACAAGGTAATTGTCGCGCAATTATCACCCGGTTGATCAAAGGGCAATTCGTGGCTCGAAGAAAAAAGGAATGGTTTGTCGAACTCGGCACGATGAATGAGGTGGGGTACGGGGGTGGGGGGGCAAAGCGGAGGCTCGGTGGTTTACGCGCTGCGCAAAGAACCCCGCCAAACTTGAAAGTCGCTCTCGCCGGCCACGGCTCACATCAGTGGCGAGTTTATATCTGGACCGCTCCACGGGCCTGCCCTCTGCGCCGCCAACCTGCGTTGACCAACGCGGTGAAGTATGGTCAGGCGGCCGCGGTAACCGACACGAACGTGAGCGGGCCCTCATCCAGCGGTGCATTGACAAGAAGAGAGGTAAATTGTTATGAATGAACGATGACATGATCCGAAAAGCGGCGCGCTCGCGCCTCTGAATTAAAGCGTCGACGGTGTGGATGCCTCGCGGCAGGGACGGAGAATCTGTTTGTCGTCTCCGACCAAAGAGATGAGACACTCTTGCCAAAAACTGGCTTTGAAGCGGTGGAAAAATGTCCAAATGACTAAAAAAAAAAAACGACACGCAATGAAAGCCTGATGGGAGCGCTTTCCAAACAAAGTACTCTTTTCGCACGAAGGAGCCACTGGTACGCAACATCGTACCCCGAGACCGTGGTCTATTTTGTCAAAAAAGATAACGTGACCTTTTTGCTAGATCGATATGGTGCTCGCGCGCCTTTTTATTTTGATACACTTTTGCGATGCATCTTTTATTTTTTGCTGCAAAGAGAAACAAAAACATGCCAACTGGACACGTGGGGAAATAATCCACGTCCATTCCCATTATCCTGCCATTTATCAAAAGTGAACTGGGAAATGTTAAAAGTGGTTCCCTTCATGGTCACGCTAAAATGTAAAATCCACTTTTGGTCATCCTTAGTTCACTGGCCGTCACGTGAAATATTTGGTGGGTTTAAGTGATGGGAGTTGACGGTATATGGTGGAGGGCTGGCCTGGTCATGGCTGCAGAGGCTAAGAATCCATTTATTTTGTCCCACGATCCATTTTTACCAAGCGGTTGAGCGAGCCGCTTGGTAAACGCGGCGGTGCATAGGGCAGACCCGTGGAGCGGTCCAGATATAAACTCGCCACTGATGTGAGCCGTGGCCGACGAGAGCGACTTTCAAGTTGGCGGGGTTCTTTGCGCAGCGCGTAAACCACCGAGCCTCCGCTTTGCCCCCCACCCCCGCACCCCACCTCATTCATCGTGCCGAGTTCGACAAATCATTCCTTTTTTCTTCGAGCCACGAATTGCCCTTTGATCAACCGAGTGATAATTGCACGGCAATTACCTTGTTACGCTGATTCAAATGCATCGCGCAATCGGAAAGCTGTGAGTTTCAAATCCCGGTTGGGGGTTTTACTCAGCCCATCATCCCTCTGGGATCAATAAAAAAGCAATTTATCGGGAAATCAATCATAGGCATCCTGTGACAGAATCGCCGCCTGCCATAGAAATGTGGCATTTCCATCAACGGGCTCAAGGCAGTAAGCGGGAGATGAGCCACCGCCTCGATGCACACATGATCAGTAAAATCGCTTGATCGATCTTGTGCTGACATGACAACAGGGAATATAATACAATGAGGCTTAATTAAGTGCCCCCCCCCCCCACCGAGTTGATTTTGTATGTTAGCATAGGCATCGTGTTTTCCAGAAATACCCAGGATGTAATGCTTGGCCGTACCTGGTGAAATAGTTTGAACGCGGTGTTGGGCGGTTCACGTGGGGTCCATCCACACAGCGCCGTTTGTTCTGCGAGCTGAAAAAACAAAGTTCACAACCTGGTCGGCTTGCGCGAGCAACACAAAAAAAAACCTTCTTGATGCTTGAAAAAACAAATCTCGCAAAACATTTATTTTATTAATTTGCTCGCTATTACATTTATATCCGCCCCGTTTCTTTTTCTTGTCCGCGTGCCCGCGCGTTCTACACTGCACAAGAGGCGCGTGTATCTCATGTCCAGTAACAACAGAGAGCCACATAATTTATACAACAAAAAAAACACAAACATCTACCGCGGTATGTTACTAAATGAGCATCGGCGAGTAAATACAGAAAACGCGTAACGGGTCCTTATTTTTGCCTGAACAGCTGTTCCTGCTAACCTTAATGTGTCACACGCCCTGCATGGAATGCCATGTATGTCAGCGTCGCATTTAATAGAAGGGAGGGAAGCACAACGGTTAGTGCACCGCACTATGGATCTGAGTTCATTTCCCGGCCACGGCTGTAATGCTGGCGACCAATATCTGAACTGTTGCTGAGCATCGCCTTCACCACTCTGCACTGATTTATGTTGGTGAAGTATGGTCAAACAACCCCTATGACTGGCATGAGGAAGCCTCCTCCAGCAGTGGAGTGACACAGGGCTGCACACGTGCCACAGACTATAACGATTCCTGCAGCAATTGCCATGGACTATTAAATTATTAGTTATCTTGAATGGGATTCTGCCATAGAAGTACCATTCAGTAGCATGCCATTGAATTGAATAGAGATGCCATGAACACTTTAAATGAATGGATGTTATGTGGACAATGAATAGGTTAGACATACTCATTCATTTCAATGGCAATGTCTGTTATCTACAATAAAATGAATGGGATTCTTTAACATCCTAAGGATCGTCCAACATAATGCCATTTAGTTTAATCATCATAATCTATCCATAACCACAATGGTTGTGGCGGGACTGCTGATTCTTCAGTCTTCAACTCCCTCTACTTTTGCCTGTCCGTCTGTCAGTCCTTGTCAGTTGCTGTGCCGGTTTATCAGTCCACCTTATCAAACACCCATTCAGTTGAATAGAGGCATACTATTGACTGTTCCGAAAAGTAAGTGGAACATATTACTATCAAGGGATGATGATGATGATGATTGATGGAAGAGACTGGTAATGGAATGTCAGCCAAGACAGGGAACATTCCCGGGAGGACGATCACTGGGGAGATGGAGCCATGCGATCAGCACACGCGCAAGAGAACGATGGTTCGTTACACCAGGAGACTGTGTGGGATTCTGTGAGATGGCGATAGTGTCTGCTGATGATCAAGTTGGTCTTTAAGGCTTATATAAATAATAAAGAGGTGTATGTGCAATAACGGGAACACTGAAATATACCAAGCGTTAGGTCAACGCAATTTTACTGTGCGTCACTGTGTGTTATGCAGGTAAAACACTCATTTACGAATAATATGTATTACATACATATTATTCGAATAATATGTATTACATCTTTGTACTTGTGTCCAAAAGAGAATCACCCGAGTTCATGCTCAGTACTCCTTACGGGGTGTCATCATGTGCACGCGCATACAATTAATTAATTTACAGCAAATGTGCTTAGTCGCATGGTGTGCTGTCTTAAGCTCCCCCCCCACCACCACCTGTGCAGACAGTGGCCAACACCGATAAACACTATTCCGTCATGGATTCACGGAATCCCAAAAGAGTGTTCGTCTCAAACCAAACCTCATTGACACACCAAGACAGATCGGAGCGTGGTGGCAGCAAAAACACAATTGTACTCAGCCCGAGCTCTGGATGCTCTGATACGTGCATTGTCTTTGTCCTGTTCACCTCTTGGCGTTCTCTCGTCCGACACTGGCAGTGAGACAAGGCCATTAAGAAGGCTGTCCCTGGTGTAGGCCAATCCGTTCCAAAGACAATGCCTATATGATCAGAATTAGTTTGCATGTTCACTACAAGTACCGTGTGTGGTTAATGCAGACTTGATTCCTTGCAAAAGGTATCTATTTAGTGTTTGAACATATTAACACCTGCTGTATTGCTAGAAAGGATAAAAACCTATTCGTATTTTTCATACTTTCAGACTGGCAAAAAATGTCCCATGATATAGCTGCTCACCCCGAGTCATAAATGCTCTGATACGTGCATTGTCTGTGTACCGTTCCACTTTGGCGTTCTCTGGTCCGACACTGGTGTAGTCAGACTAGGCCATTAAGAAGACGGACCCTGGTGTAGGCCAATCCGTTTCAAAGACAATGTATATATTAGCAGAATATATGTACAATTCGCTAGGATGGGAAATACGAGACTGACTTGACTATTTCTCCATCGATTGACTATGCCCCCCCCCCCCAAACAAACAGAAGCTTAAGGATTTCCAAAAGAGTTCGATAATATTTCGATTTGGTGAGAAGGGAAAATACAATCCTGTGAAGTATAGCAACAGCGAGAACACGAGTATTCATTTTAAAAGGCCAGAGTGGTAAAGAGGTGGCCGGGTGGGGTGACTTAAGAGATCCGAATGCCAAGGTGGCATCGCGGATATCCTGGCTTTGATTCTGGGCAGCTACACAGGGTGAAGCCAGGTTCTCAAGTGTCAGTTGAGGGATCTAAGCCCAGTCACCAATGACTGCACCACACAAACAAACAACAACAACGACAAAAAACCCCTTCACATTAAATGTTTTGTTCTCAATTTAATTCGCCTAAATTCCAGCTCTGAAAATGAAGAGCATCGGTTCGACGGTCCTGTGACGAGCATCACTCCTCGTGACACGGCATGTGGGAAGTGCTCCTCCCTATTGTGCGGACCAGAGGTCACTTGATCTAAGAACGTAGTTCTGTGATATATCTTTCCACATACCGTTCATGACATGGAGGCGGGGTGGGGGGGTGCACTAGTCTGCAAAAGTTCAAAATTAATTATACCTCCGATATCCGATAAGTACGGTTGGCTACATATGGAAGGAAAGAAGTTCAACATATGTACGTTTTGTCTCATGACATGACCCAGATTGCGCAATCACAATAACATGTGGTGACAAGACTTTTAATTAATATTTTTTTTATCAAACTTACGTCCCTTTCCGATGAGTGAAAGGAGGCACACATCTCCTGTATACATTCCGAGGCTAGATGTGGACATTCCACATTCCCTGGGCAGGGCTGAGTAAATTCATAGGACAAGCCCTGCAAGCTCATTGTAGATGTTGAATTTTGCACGCAGTTATTGTTCTATACATAAGCACATTTGAATTATTTAGGCATTGGTTGAAATAACTTGGATGACCGCATAGATTTCCATTGAGTCAATTGCCTTTTCATAGTCTGCAAAGGCTACAAGAATAATAACAATATTTAATATCAACTGGTGAGTTCAACTAATGTTTCTGCCTGCATTGTCCAACAGTGTGTCCAGATCCTGGCACCAGTGAGCCACAACTGTGTGCTGTTGGTGTCATGTCTTGAAAATGAACGACTGTACATTCATAACTCTTGATGAATAAATGTACAAAATGAATGCATGTGCATTCATAACTCTTGTTGCAGAGAACAGCCTAAAATCACGATGCTAATGGCACACCTTTCTCCTTATTTGCCCTGGAAACCGAGTTTGCGCATGTCACTCAACCCCACAAGTTAAATATCAGAGCTGGAAAACGCCAAATCGAGTGGAATACAGAATTCACGCAATCTCCAAATATTCAGGCATCGTCAGGGTCGGGATCAAACCCATGACCTCCTGTATACCGGGTGAGGTAGTTAACATCTCTCCATCACAGCGCCCCTCACATGTGGCTGCCAGGATTGGAACCCATGATAACAGCAGAGCTGGCTTAGCGATCTGATGTGTACTGGCTCCCTGGGCAAGGTTTCTAAGATTCCAAAGCACCACGGAGGTTGGTCTTAACGAGGGGCCCAAAGGGCTTTGACCAAAATTTAGTTCTCGTGTATCACAGGGAGGGATTGTGCCACTGACTCCACGTCACCGAAATCTGCCAGAACTTCCCTCTGGCAAAAAGAATGGGAAAAAAAAATCAAGCGACAAAGCTGTTGAACGGAGCTCCCGTTTGATTCCAATTCCAAATGGCTCGCATGGCGGAGCCTAAACAGACTCAAGAGTGGCTTTTGGCAGATGCAACTCTCTCATCAAATCATAGGTGGGGGGGAGGGGTATTCCACACAACCCCGACACCAATGTGTGCTTGCCGGGAGAAGTAAACCATGGATCATCTCCTGAGATGCCCTGCAGCAACCGAAAAGCACTCCTCAAGACTTGGCAATGCCGAGACCTCAAGCGGTGGCCTGTGCAGAATTATGGGAAATGATCGTCTAGAGGTTGAACAGGAGACGCTATGAAGAAGACGATTGTGGTGTCTGCGTTCGTGGGCACATTTTCTGAGGTAATTTCGTCAAAACCTTTGGGCCCTCATCACGACCAACCCTCACAAGCACCTTGCCACCTTGAACTTCCCGCGGATTTAATCCCACCAAAACCAGAATTTGCGGGAAACTGGGCTGCGGCAAGGTCAAAGAAGGTTCTCGCAAATGTACGCCCCGCACCTTGTCATCTGGGTCCTTGTCTCCTGCCAACATCGCCGTGGTCAAAAGGGAGTTGATGTCGCTCATGTCTTGCTCCGACACCATGTTGCTCCTTTTGCCGAGGAATTTGTTTGCCGGTGCGGGCGCCGGAGAATCCATTTGGCTCGGTGCAGACAGCTGACAAAGACACGGCAAAGGCAGAAGAGCAATGAAGGTGTAACTACGACATCAAGTAAGAATTATCATGCGTAGAGCGTAGATTACGTCGTGTAATGCATCTGCCCTTGGTAGTATTTAAATGAGCGATAATAATGGTAGTACTTGCGCCAGGGCGCGCTCAGCAAGTAGTACGCTCGTAGCACATGAAGAAACCACGGGGCTCGCATAGCGGCTCTGCCTGGTAAGGGCGCGACTCGGGCAGCCGTGCTGGGATAACGAGGCAGGTCCTCTCAGCGCCGACGATGAGCACGGTTGCCTACGTACTGTGCGAAAGAAGTTCAACATACATTCGTTGCAGCACTGGTTTGTGCCCCCCGCGTTTTGATCAATTTGTCCCGTATTCAATGGTGTACGTCTCTATTGGCAACACACATACTTATACTAAAGTTTAATCTATATTGGAATGTGTATTTTTTTTTCTTTAAGTTAACATGCCAACCTTGTTACGGATAGATAGACAGATGGATAGACAGACGGAGGTATGGAGATAATCCATAAACATTTTCAACCTTTGTTGAAAAGCGTAAAAATAAAACCGTTAAGTGCACAGCATCTTGTTCCCGAGCTCAGCGGAGGCTGCTACTTGTATTATTTATCATAGCAATCAGACAGAGTTAATAAACGCAACACATTTGTCTCCACAGGCCTTGTGTAAAACTCTGGTTACAAATGATTGGTGCTATGTAAAAGCAGGCCAACACTGAACACTGAATTTGACACGGCACAATACACGACATAATCGCTAAACAAGTGGTGCATAGCAACAAAACACACGGCTGTCTCAAGGAAATGTTTGAACTGTTGTAAGTACGATTTACAATTGTGGCTAACCTTAAGAAAAGAAAACATTCCAGATTCAGAAGTCACTGATTCAATCTGAGGAATAACATTTAATTACAAGGTTGGACGTTTTACGAGAAGGACTGAAGCAATATTATTCCACGTTGTGTTCCGGTTCCGTTTATAAAGAAAAACCTCATGAATTCTCAAGAGTTATTTTTTTTTTCCAATAAGATCTTGGATGCGTATGTTTGGCCAATTCCTTAAAAAAATAATGTTGTGCATGTGGGAGGCAACCGGAGTAGCCGAATGAAACCCATGCGTATGACAAGATGACACACAAACATCTGCACAGATTAGCTTTCCAAACCCGCTTGCTATACTGCTGCCTCACGGCCACCTCGTTTGCTTGGCAGGTATGGAAGTGTCACAACTTTGTGTGATCCACCAACCCTTGCCTCCAAAGTTCAGGGTGTACCCAAATAGAAGTAATTTTCATTTAGAATTTTAGTGAAATGAGTGGGCAAAACAAAAAAGTTCAAATCTGGACATACGGAATAATTGCTTCTACCGCTGGGTGAAAACTCGCTGCATGTCGTTTGCGGTTTGCATTGTGCGAGTAGGGTTTGTGTTCGTCCAATGAAACCGATTCTCTAGATATGGAACATCTCGCAAGTGCAGAATGCCAAGTCTTGCTCACGTAAATAATCTCTGTTTTATAAAGCGCTTTTCATATTGAAGTATCTCAAAGAGCTGTACACGAAAGTAAAACCCCACTCACGAGTACAGATACAATCTAAGCAAAATATAAACTTTTAATAACAATATCAATGGCTACACTCGAAATTCAAATAAAATTAGGAACCATGATAAAAGCAAACAATAATAAACTAATGGACCGAGGAAGGGGATTCCACAATCGTGGAGCCTGGCAGCAGAAGGCTCTGTCTCCCATAGAACATCAACAACAACAACACAGTCTTGTCTTTGGAGCGATGACTAGACCAGAAGCAGCTGAAGTCAGTTTTTCGCAGCGGTGTGTATGACGCGTGAGCAGATCGGCGGCGAGATATTTAAGAGCTGGCCCATTCAAGGCCATGTACGCGAGAAGCAGAATCCTGAAGTCGACTCTGTACTTCACAGGGAGCCAGTGCAGGGATGACAGAATCGGAGTGATACGGTCAAACAATTTAGATCTGGTTAAAACCCGGAAAGATGAGTTTTGAATATATTGTAATACATTTAAAACACTTGTCAAAATGCTAAAAACTATTTTTTTTTATTTTACCATGTGTAGTTCTGCACAACGTGGTGGATAGACAGCACACACGCCGGTGAGCGTGAGCACGGTGTGTGTTGGCAGGGCGGAGGAACTAGGGCAAGGGTCACGGAGGACCCCATCTGGAGGCCCGTGGAACCTGCTAGAGGGTTCGGGAAGGAAGGCGCGGTCAGGGCGGAGCCGGGCAGCGCTGGGAGCATAAAAGGAGCTGAGAGCGGGAGCTTGAGGCTGCCGGTTCTGGGAGTGGCCTCGTCTCGTCGTCCCTGTTGTCTCGTCGCCGTTGTTGCTAAACGTCTCCGCTAGATATCGCGCTACGAAGGAGAGTAGTTGGCGATCTCAGTCAGTGCCGTCAGTGTTAGACGGCTCGTGTTGTGTACAGGCTAGGTTGAGCTACTGTGGAGAGTGTGTGGACAAGACCGTGGAAGTTGTTTATAAAGAAGGTGCCTTCTACAAATCTTGCCTCCGTCTCACTGACACTAGACATGTGTAAGGCCCCACTGAGCTGTACAGCTCATTTTCAGAAGCGACTTGGACATAAATGATAGTTCAGTGAAGTGGCTTATCATGTGGAAATTTATAGCAGTCAAATACTCTAAACGCACGTTGCTTCTAAATGTGGAGAGAAAAATCAGAGGACTCGAATAAAAATCCACGCGACCACGGGGAGAACATGCAAACTCCAAATATACAGGCATCAGGGTCTGGATAGAACCCACGACCTCCTGTATACCAGATGAGTTAGTTAACATCTTTCCACCGTGGTGCCCCTGAATATTTCATAGCACATTCAATAAAAATGATCCAGGTTCAGATTTTTCATAACATCCCGCACCACGTGATCTCCCACCAGCCGGCCAGGCGGTTCAGCGGCAGCGCGCGAGTGGCTCACGATTCCGGAGCCGCGAGCGGGGGGGGGTTATTTCCTGGTTGGGGGTTAACTCAGCCCCATCATCCCAACAGTGGTTGACCTATGGAGAGACTCGCCCTCGCCATAGGAATGTGGAAATTCTGTCACTGGCCCAGGGCAGTTAACTGTCTAACTGTAGATAAGCACCGTCTTCAAGCAATTTAAATGATTTTGCTGCTATAAATGTCCACATGATAAGCCACTTTGTTGAGCTATCATTTATGGCCAGGTCGCTTCTGAAAAATAAGTTCATTCCTCAGTCGGCTTTGCCTGGTAGGATGGGGATGGTTTAGTTTCATTTGTATGCGTTTGGGAGATTTGTTTATTTTTCTTGTACTGTGCACTACAATCGCGTTTTGTATTGTTTGTTGTTGTAACGTTCTTACCCGCCCCTACTGGACATCTGTGAAAAAGAGCTTTACAGACCATCAGATTCCTCCAGAATGAATAAATATTACGATTCTGACTAATGCTCGTTTGAGCAGGAAATCACTTGGACTTTTCATTCGCCAACCCTCGCCCCCAAGGTGCCGTGTCACAGGCGGCGTGCATCGCCATCCGCCGGCTCTACGCAACCACGGTACCGCGTGAGAAGCGGGAGACGTGTGCGGCTCCTGTGCCGACTTGTCGCTTGAGCTGGCACTGTCTGTGGCGAAGGCAGGGATGGTGGTGGCGGCGGCGGTGGCGGTGGTGGCAGCCGCCTGAGAGAGGGGACGGTGGGGCCGGGCTGTCGAACCGTGCCGTGGAACTCCGAGCGATGGCGATCGTAGCCTTGTATGCTCCTGCATTTGTTCGTCCAGGTATGCCGTCCTGTGTGGATATCATCATCAACGCCAGTTTAATACGTAGGCTTTCGCGACAAATATCCATAATATAGGGAGTTTTTTTTGGGAAGATCGCGTAAATATAAATTTGTTGTTAAATCCGCCACCACCCGACACAGCCAATTAGTAAGGTTTGTCACGTAAACAAAACATGCCAAATCGTTACTAGTTCTGCACAACGTGGTGTTGGAGAGCAAACCCAATTGAACTAGTAATTAATTATATTGACGCGATCTGACCCAAAAAAAACCCCTCTGTTACAGATCATCATCGTCGTCATCAGCCAACGATCAATCCACTGTTGGATGAATGCTTCTCCAAGTCGTCGGCATGGACACGTGTGCGCAAATCTAGGTGGCGGCGTCATACAGCTCCACCACAACGCGCCTCTTGCATGTAGGTCATCCGCCTTGTAGGTGATCAAATCAGGTAACCGATGAATGGGAATATATATCTACGATTAAATAACCATCAAGGAAATAGCTGGGTGACTCAGAGGTTGGAGCTCGAGGCGGGCTCGGGATGAAAATGGAGGAAAGTACAATGGGAAAAAGCCAATAGCCAAAGTGATATCCTCCCAAAAAAAGTGCGTGGCGACACTTATTTTCTTTAAACAGCTCTGAGCCAGTGGTTTAAATTCTATGTCCCTATGACCCGGGGCGGTGCCAAGATTTTGACTTTGGGGGGTTGCTGACTTCAATATTCTGAGATATCCAGTGTATGTTTTCCAATGGGCACCACAAATGCATAAAACAAATTTTATTGGATTTGAACGCGGAGTTTATTAATAGGTCGGAGCCGCTGATGTGGCTAATAAGTTCGATAATAAGTTTGCAGCAGCCGGATATCCGGTTATCCCGATTACCGACTTTCCAAAAATTTCAGGGGGGGCTAAGCCCCACCCCTGCCTATGACAAAGGCCAGTTTATTGATCGTAGTGAGATTTTAACTCGCAACGTGAGTGGCCTGCTCTAATTGCTGGTGCCATCTCACCAGATTAGTAATGTGTAATATACATTCTTGATTTGAAGCTTTCGTGACTGCAGGAATCCATACTCTTTGGTTCTTTGACGCTTGTGTTGCGCCCGAAACGTCGTGATTTATTTTATTTTATACCTACGTGACTTTACCGAAATAACCAACGAGTATGTAATATACATGTCAAACCATACCACTATAGACTAATGGAAATATTTTTTTTCCGTCCTTCTGCTTATAACTGAAGACTGAAAAGCGGTGCAAGGATGAGAACACACACACACACAACAATCTGCAAAAGATCCCACTTTCCAAACAGTTTTTTCTTTGTGGCCAGGGTGTGCCTGATCTGAAGAGAGGTCAAACACATTTAATGAAACGTTACGGACAGGTTAGGGGCCACTGCCTCATTGTCATCTGCGAGTCACACGGTGATGGATGTTGAGAACATTCCAGATAGTTTGCAACTGCACATCGAGACAAGATGAAACGATAAACTAGAATTATTATTTTTTACCAGCTCTTTTTCAGAAGCGACCTGGCCACAATGACAGCTCAACGAAGTGGCTTATCACGTGGTTATTTATGGCAGCCAAATACTCTAAATGCGTGATGTTGATTCTAAATGTGGAGGGGAAAACCGGATGACCCGGAGAAAAATCCACGCGACCATGGGGAGAGAGACACGCAAACTCCACATATACAGGCATCATCAGGATCGGGATTGAACCCACGGCCTCCCGTTTACCAGGCGTGGTAGTTAACATCTCGAGAGAGAGGGAGATTGCACGACACAAGGTGATGCACTACTGGCAACACGAATATTTTCTGAAATACATATTTATAAAAAATATAAAATATGTGTATATATTAACCATCACATCAAAGTTTAAATAGCCATTTCACACACAAACCGTGTGCACGTACGACTTCAAACCAAACAGGAATACACATTTTTTTGGTGCAAAATACCGGAGTTGCAATGAAAACGAAATAACACGGGATAAATAATTCAACAGGTGCGAACAATTTAAATGTACGAAAGGACGTGACGAAAATAAATCCCTGGGAATAATTCCGCCGTTTCACTGTTTGCATGTAAAATCTAATCAGGATTAATGTAATCTGCAGTAGTGTACCTATCTGGCTTAACAGTAGCAACGGAGAGAGAAATGCACCCTGCCAAAGACTGAAGGACTTGGGCTCAGCTGGTAGATGGGCTTCATTGAGTGGTCCTAATGTGCCGTTTCTCATTCATCTTCGCTTCATTCCACCCACACAAAGGCCTTCTTTCAGCTTTGCGTATATCGCTAACAGGCATTAGAAATGATTCTGATTTGAGGACATGTTTTAAAATTGAAGCAGAATGATGAATATTAAATACGTGTGCACACACACGCGTGTGTGTGCACGCGCGCGTGTGCACGTATCAACATCATCACACATAATCATCAGCATCAGAAAGCATCATTCTATCATTATCAGCAGCAGCAATATCACTCTATTCATAATCAAATATTATCACATCATCAGCAACTTCACTCTATTCATTATCATGCTTCAGAATGCACGGGAGTAGTAAAAAATGTCTTCCCGAGTTTTAAACATATGCAGTCATGCTGATTACATTCGATTGCAATGTAGAAGTACATCCTCAAACATCAACATGATCCCACTGTAATTGTCTTCACACAACACATAAAGGAGACTTCCTCATGAGTCCAACTCTGTGTGTGCTGTGACTTTATTTCAGAATGTCCTTTGCACAACTGTATCGACGCTCTCCTCCCACGTATTGTAGGAAAGCACCACCTCTACAGAACTCAATAAACTTTTAGTCATCATGCTTGCACACAGTTAACAGAAATGATACGTTATATATATGAGTTGCAGAAAAATGAAGAGCACATAAATTGGCGAGCAAATCAGAGGCATCGCATTGACTATTCAGAATGGTAAAGTTGGTTTGGAAAGGAGACCGCAAGAAGGGTTATATGTATGTTCAACTTCTTTCGAACCGTACGTAGCCAAGCGTGCTTATCGGAGGTGTGGAGGAAGGACAACAAACTTAACACAAAAAGCAGTTCTAAAGAAATACGTTTTCAATATAGGTGATTTAACAGTGCATAGCTCCAATGGCTTTCTAATATAGGGAAGAAGAGCGTTCCAGACGGCCACAGAAGCGCATCTGAAAGTGCACGATGCAGTGACCGTCTTTGTTCGATGGTTAGCCAAAAAGTTTGATGATTGGCACCTCGGAAGAGACCACCAATATAATGCCACTAGGACACAACCTCAGCGTCCTCATGTTGCATTGTTCCAATAATTTAGATTTAAAAGTGCTTAGCTCCAGTGGCTTTCTCATTCATATATACATTCAGAATGGTAAGTTGATTCAGGAAAGGACACATCGTAAGAAGAGTTTACTGCTGATGGACAAGACTGGTGACAGAGCACGAGCCAAAGGAGTGAATGAGCGTTAAAGAGCGACTCCTGTGGAGAAGGAGCGGTGCGATCAGTCCGTGTGTAGGAGTGGGATGGATTATCGGAACCTCAGGACTGTAGGAGATGGGAAAGCCTTCGTCCAGTGAACCGACAAAAACTGATTGTGTTTATTACATAAATGCAGCATTGCATGCAATACTATTTAATTGCGATATCTTGAAGAAAGGGGCGGCATGCGATACAAAGAAAGGAGTGAATGTAGCCCTGATGGAACAAACAAACCCCCCCCCAAAAGAACAAATTATTAAACATGAATTAAAACTACAAACAATCCAGCGCAATCTGCTGGGACTCAAAAAGCTATTGACATTTCCTGATGAAAAAGTCACGGCAGTAATTTCCAGTAATTACCTAAATGGAGCTGCTTCTGTTCAATGTACTTTATCTTTGCAGAGTGCAAGTCGATCGACCACGCGTAGTTTATTTTACCTTCTCCCTTAGATGTTCTGCTCGAGCTCAAGCAGCAGCGACTATCAACAGTACGTTCTCCATAACGTGTATTGTTTTCATAACGAGAATTGTGTACAACGTGACGAATGTGTGGAGGAAACGCATGTTTTGCAACGCGGAATACGAATTGGATGAAACGCGATCGAGCCAACAGAACTGCGTCGCGCGAGTAGGAATGAGCGGTCGTACGGCCGCCTCGGCGTAGCGTCACCGCACAGGTCATTGGGATGCTGCTGGATGCTTCTAGGTGCTACCCACGCGCCTCAGGCTATCTTCGGGCCGTGTACGCATCTCACGTGTTATCGCCTGACCGTGCTTTACCCGATATTCTATGTTTATTGCAACGCGATTTTTCCCCAACGTGGTGTTCTTCAGGAACCCAGCTACCGCCGCGTTACAGAATACAGACCGCATCTGTGAGGTTACAGGAATGTGTTTTCCCCGACATGTTGGCCAAGCGAGCGTATTTCGCGCAGATGTTCGTGACGCGGGGTTTTTTTTTTCTTCTGCAATGCGATGATGAACTAAGCCGAGGCCATTTCGCCTCGACGTTGTATTTACTTAAACTTTCCCACCGAGGCTGAACCCTTCGAAATAAACACGGCAAACGTCAAAAAAAGCATTAGTCAGGTTTGAAAAAAAAAACACAAACAGGGCACTCCGCGCCCATCCAGAAGAGGTAGAAATGACCATAATTCAGCTCTGGGGTTAACAAAAACACGGCGCCCCTCGGACGTATTTGTCATTGTCTTCATACATGTAATGACATGATAGACATAAAGGTGCAGCCCTGAAATGGCTTGCTCATGCCAATGGTGGGGAAGGGCTTCAGCTAAAGGGTGGAAAGTTTGCAAGTGAAGGGAAACCCACATCAAGAGGGTATGTGGCCTACTCTTTCACGCTCGACAGATGTAAATTAAACTAAAACTACTAAACTTTTTTTTTTCTACCAGGTAAGGTCCACTGAGCTAAATCGCTCTTTTTCAGAAGAGACCTGGCCACAAATGACAGCTCATCACGTGGAAATTGATCGCAGCCAAATACTCTGAAAGCAAGATTGTAAATGTGGAGGGGAAAACCGGAGGACCTGGAGAAAAATCCACGCGACCACGGGTATATAGACATACAAACTCCAAATATACAGGCGTCAGGGTCAGGATCGAACCCACGATCTCCTAGTAAACCAGGCGGGGGAGTGAACATCTCGCCACCGCGGTGGCCCTTAAAAGAGGTCGGAATAGCCACACTTCATCCCACCAACACGTGACCTGCGGATTAGATTTTACAGGTGAACCCATTTATACTGCCACGTGGACGGAGGCAGTGCGGTTTAATAAACACACCCATTACTTCAATAGTCACGGCGGGAGATCAAATGGAACCGGCGACCTCTGGATTGCAAATCCAGTGTGCTGACCATTACATCACCGAATAATAATGATGTGCCCCGGGACAAATATATTATTGAGCGAATATGAATGTTGCGCACACAAATGGCATACATCAAATAGCGGCGTATAATTACGATACTCGGAATACTGTATAATTTATGCTCGATTAAAGTTGGCGCATCCTTTGGATACGAGCTCCCTACCTTTGGATAAGGCGCTTTGTTGATTCGCGCGTGGAATTATTGTCCTCTTTTTCCGATCCGGTTGCTTTCCACGGTGAAATATGCTGCGCAGAGAGCAGGAAAAAAGGCGCTATAAATGCGGTAACATGCTCGATTTCACGACGAGATCAAACCCACGACTAAACCACACGCAGAAAAAAAGTAAGAAAACACAACCATTGACAGCATAGCAATCCCCACATTCTTTTTTGGATAAGCTGTTTGCCTTTGTAATCTTGCAGGCGATACACTCATAGGAAGTTTGGCAGTAATATTGGGTGCATTGCATTTTAATTATAGTTAATGATTTTAAATGCAGAAGTAATTCCTTTGCTCATAATGATGGACACGTCCACCTGTGTACGCCCCTTAATAGACAATAACATAACGCTGTATAGGCAGCCAGTCTGCCCTAATGCTTTTAAAAGCATTCATTACATCTGTCAGTTCAGCATTAGAAACTTGACCTAGGTCCAAGGAAAGTTTTGATATATAGCAGCCCTTTCTCCTGGCTGCTGCTTTTGAAAAGCATCACATAAAGAGATGCAAACAACTCACATGTGGGTTGGTTTACTTAACGGGCATTTAAAAAAAAAGTTTGCGCGTAAGTGCATTCGCTCATGTTTAAGGCCACGTGTAAAGTGATATTTAAATTAATTATAATCGCACTGCAGTGATCAGAGAGAGTAATCATCTATGATGGTTGCACCACATTGCAGCCACTTTCCTGCATCACTGTGTGCATAAAGTGCCACATTTTTAAGATACATTTTAAAGTCACGTAACAAACAACAACAAAAAATTCACGACGTTTCGGCCGCAACACAAGTGGCCTTCATCAGGTGAAGGGACCAGACTGTCTAGAGGACAGCGCTGGAGTGAACACAGCCAAGCTCAGACCGCGACCTTTAAGCTGTGTGAGAGGAAGCAGAGCGCCTTGACAAAGGAATTATCATTAAAAAATTACTATTTAATTGGCGGACTTAGCATGATGAACGATGTACAGGGGGGGAGCATGTGCAGACCGGCGAGGGGGGGAGGGGGGGGAGTTTACATATTGATGGTGTGAAAAGGGAATTTAAGCAGCTGCGAAAGTTTAGGATACCACTACTTGAAAATTTTGGAGATCTTTTTAGTAACCATATATAGCAGGCGTTACTAAAAAGATCTCCAAAATTCTAAACAAACACAAGATCCTGGTCCAGTTCAATACAGTACACAAAATCCGTGACCTGATTCCTTCCGTGAAGGATGTCATTCCTCACTTACAGTACCCCGGAGTTTACAAATTGATCTGCACCTGTGGTGACTGCTATATCGGGGAGACGAAACGACATGTCTCTGACCGAATTTGCGAGCACAAATCAGATTTGAAACACGGCAGAACGAATTCTTCTGCCGTAGCTGATCACTATTACAACACTATGGGTGATCACGATATAATTTTCTCCGATACCAAGGTTCTTTGCAAACCCACGGGTTTTTATCAGAGATTTGTTCACGAGGCAATTCAGATTTACAAACACAGACACAATTTCAACCGAGAGGATGGTTTCAAATTAAGCAACCATTGGAAAGATGTTCTGAATCAAACCAAACATTAAACTAATTTTCAATGGTACAGTATGTTTTTTCAAGTAGTGGTATCCCAAACTATCGCAGCTGCTTAAATTCCCTTTTCACACCATCAATATGTACACTCCCCCTCCCCCCCTCGCCGGTCTGCACATGCTCCCCCCCCTGTACATCGTTCATCATGCTAAGTCCGCCAATTAAATGCTAATTTTATGCTAATTCCTTTGTCAAGGCGCTCTGCTTCCTCTCACACAGCTTAAAGGTCGCGGTCTGAGCTTGGCTGTGTTCACTCCAGCGCTGTCCTCGAGACAGTCTGGTCCCTTCACCTGATGAAGGCCACTTGTGTTGTGGCCGAAACGTCGTGAACTTTGGTTTTTTTGTTGTTGTTTTTTACGTGACTTTACCGAATAGAACCAAAGAGTATAGATCCTTGCAGTCACGAAAGCTTTAAATCTAGAATACATTTTAAAGCTCCAATAATAATAATTTACATTTGTAAGGCGCATTTCATCCGAGATCCCGATTGATCCCAAGTTATGGAAAGCAAATTTAAAGCAACAAATACCCTGTGGAATTTTACTGATGCTACAGATGCAAAGCTTCTACGTGTTCTACCACATTCAATCGATACAAAGTGCATTTTTTACAGCGTCTAAAGCAGCGTTCTTGACGAATTTTCAGAGAGGGGGGTGGGGGGCACTTTCGCCGATAAAACATCATCAGTGTGAGGGTCGCCACACATTTGAAACCATTGTGGGTTTGACAGCAGCACGATGATGATGATGATGGGGGGTGTTGTTACTCTTTGTATATTGTCGGGTGGGTGCACGTCAGGGGCCGCACGAAAAGCCACCAGGGGCCGCCAGTGGCCACGCGATGGCCTTGCAATGAAGAACACCGCTCTAGAATCAGTGGGCACAATTTATAATTACGGAGAGACTGCCAATCGTAGGTGGCGGAGAAGAGGAGGGCCTCGAGTGTAGATTTTAATAGAGGCAGGGAGTTGGCAGCATGCACTTCTGTCGGTAGGAAGTTCCACACTATGGGGGCAGCAGATGAGAACGTGACTTCCCACTGAGTGAAATCATCAGTGAGGGCTATGAACACATCTGTAGATGGTATCCATGTGAATGCACAGCCATCATTCAGAAAGAGCATTACTGGACGTGCTGCACTCTGCTCAGGGTAAACGAGGCAGCTTGCGACGGCTTCCTCTGGCTGGGATCTTGTAACATCCATCGCCTGGTAAGGTGATGGATGGAACCTCCAGCTTTTAACGGCCCTTCGAAGGACGGCTCGATTTCGAGAATTGTCTTGCAATACGTGCTGATGCAGGCTTGGGTCAGTCACGCTTACTTAACGTGAACATATGGTCATCCCCGCACAAACAGCTTTCAAACAGCCTTATTATATACCTTTGGATCCTATTCATCTGTGAATAAAACTGACACGTACGTTCACCATACCCGGTGTTATCGGCGCGGAGCGTACAATTACTGTCGAACCTCGCGCTTTGTCCGTGGCCCACAATCTGCCTGCGCCACACTGTGCATGATTAAAATAACGGTCATTAGGCTATCCCCTCACGTGAATTGGCTACATAACAGGGCATGGGGAGGCTGAAGAATCTGGGGGTCATGTTTTAAATTCGCATTTCTGTCAGGCCGCCTGAAATTGAAGGGTGCAAACCCACTCCCCCCCCCCCCCCATAATATTAGCGGCAACACGTTGACAGTTGCTGGCTCTACGTACGTTGAACTTCGTTAGCGCCCCACATCGCCAACCGTGCTAATCGGAAGTGCGGAGAGGAGGGGGGGGGGGCAGGTGTGGGGTCAGTCAGTGGCTTATCCTGGTTGGCATAGGCCTTGGTGCCCGGAATCTGGGCCCCTGCAGCCTGTCCGGGCTGCGGTGCAATCGCTCCCATTCTGTCGGTAGCCCCTCCGCGAGGCGGTCACATGGGCCCAGCGGCAGCGCGTTTTGCCACTCGTAGCAGAGGTTCGCCCCCGGTGAACACTGGGGCATTATTTCAGCGTGAAATATACGCACCACCTGCTTCGCCGCGGACGCTACAGATGCCGTCACGTCGTTTGGAAATGAGTGGGACGTGTGCCGGTGACATGGTCCAAATTTGATAAAATGCTAACAAATTACTTAATTAGGAAGTCACAAGCCAACATCACCCCCCCCACCCCCTCCTGCAGGACTAATGGCCATATGCTCGCCGGTTTCTGTGCTGTTTTGTGCTACACAGGGGCCGTACATAAATGACGTCACACGATTTTGGACGATTTTTGACTCCCCCCCCCCCCCCTCGTCACACGGCGTCACAAAAAGTCAGGCCCCCCTCAAATATGACGTCACAAAGCTCTCCCCCCCCCCCAAAAATAAATAAAACATGCTTCAAATCGCTTTAAACTATTGTCATTGTAGTGCGTGTTTAATGTGGCGCTGCACTCTGATGTTGTAGGAGAAAACATTTATTAAAAAGTAAATTTAATTAAGTAGAACGTGTTGGCTATATTTATTTAAAGTTGCGCATTTTGATGTGACGTCACATTACTCACCCCCCCCCCCTCGTCACACATCGTCACAAATGTCTGACCCCCCCTCCCCCCCCTAGGTGCGTGACGTCATTTATGGACGTCCGCACAGGGACAGCTGCCACCAAGGGTTCCCTGCTGCAGGACTCATCGAGATATACTGCATGGGAGGCACGTCTAGAGAGTATTTGGTTTGCTGCTGTACATTTCCACACGATAAGCAACTTCATCGAGTGGTGAATGAAGACTCGGAGGCAGATTTCCAGGTAAGGGCTTGCGCCGGTTTATTAACAAAGAAGATGGTAACTAACAACCAGAGGTCGGTGTCCTACACTCGGTCCTTCCCGTGAAACCTTCCGCTCTATCTGTCCCTAGCCTCGGCCATCTCTTCGGCTCTCCTACTCGCAGAACTGGGACTGGGGGACCAGCCAACACCGTCCGGCCACGAGCAGGAGAAGCTTTCTCGAGACGCTCACCATCCCGGGATCCCACAACGACAACCCCTGAAGTCCCTCAGGTGACATGGCGTCATCGCGCCTCACCGCGCGCATGATGTCACGTCGCCCCATACTACTACTACTCCTCTACAGAGCTATCATTCGTGGCCAGGTCGCTTTTGAAAAAGAGGTATATAGCTCAGTGGGGCATTTAAAAAAAAAGTTGAGTTTAACCGGCGATGCAACAACCCTGCCAATGCCTGCACGCGAAATGACTTCATCGCTCATTCTGCTCGGTGGACGTCCACTTGGTCACGCTCCAAATCGGCCTCACGCAACCAAATTTGTCCGAACCGATCTTGATTTGAAGCTTTCGTGACTGCAGGAATCCATTACTCTTTGGTTCTTTCGATGATATCGCGTAGTTAGAAATAAATTAATTAAATTGTCTGCACCGTTCACGTAAAGTCACATTTAAAAAAAAATAGTTCAGTTCAAATATCAAGCGATAAT